TTGTTCTTTGCTGTAAACCAGCACCTATAAAACAATGCCTGCTCAAAACATGGTCTATCTATTGTCTGAGTGAACGAATGAATGGTTGTGTGCAAGTTACACTGAAGACAGTGCCAGCCCAATGCAGGGGGCCAGAGGGATGCAGATGAATCAGGGAGGGACCCTGTTCTCCAGAATCTTCAGATTGGCTGAAAAAGATGACATTACGCTGTTGGCTCTGGAGATGGGAGAGACGACATCCTGGTGGAGGAAGGCGAGGCTGGTCTTGAGTAGGAGGCTGCCTGTTGGTGGAAAGATGAACAGTGGTTATTTGGGTGTCAGGTTGGCCAGAAAGTCCGCTACTTTTTTTTCTGTAAGATAAGACACATTTTTCATTTTCACCAATAGCCTTATTGATTTGGATATTCTGAGTATGTCAGCTGGCTCCTGCTATTGGCTTCTATTGGGTAGAGGCCAGGGGTTGCTAAACATCTTCCAATGCATAAGACAGCCCCAGAGCAGAGAATTATTTGGCCAAAATGTCAATAGTACCAAGAAACATCATAAACCACTTTTAACACGTTCGATCAGTCACAGCACCTTCTCCATACACTGCACGCATCTTTTTTCTTTTGCATTTCAATTGGGTTTCTTGAAATAATAAAGCATAATAAGCCAAGATGTGTATTTCCTTCCAACTTTAATATTAAAATCGCTGCACAAAAATTCAATTTTGATAAGTTTTTGAAAAAATACATGCCGATAGGACAGCTAGCTGTCACAATATAATCTAAGAAAATTGTTTCGAATAAAGTTAAAGATGACTAAGCCATACGAGAGCCATCGTACAGAAAAAACAAGATGGACTTTGGCCAACCCAGTATTTTCTATTGCATTCAGTATTCTCTTTGACCTGCTTTGTCAGCCAAACTTGACATCTGATTGCTTCACTCAGCCTCCTTCGAAGCCTGTTGGCACTGGAGGTGGTTTTGAATGTTTCTATTCTTCTGTGACTTGGGGTTGCAGTCACTTGGGTGTTTGCAGGTGTGGGCATTTAGGAGCCAAAATCCAGGTATGTGCATGACACATGGTAAAACAGTTTAGACAATAAATTAGTTTGTTGAACTGCAGTAAAAATTTCCATGTTATTGCTTTTGTAATTGAGCCTATTTTAGCATTAGCATACAAATTAGCCCCTAGACCTAGGCAAATTAAAATGCTACTAAAATGTAAGGATACACTAGAACATTAATACTGAATTTGGTTAGGCTATTAATGTTAGACTACATTACATATATTAATTCCACAATACAGGTTAATCTGAACATTTCCTTAGCCAGTGAACGACTTTGTGGATCAGAATTTTTAAAGTTCAAGAGGACTTTATAATAATCTATGGGAATAAAAACAGGAGAAATGTTCAGTATATGAGGCAAATATCTGTCCATTCCACTTCTCCATCACACTCTGCCATCAATCATCTGAATAATGATTGATGATTTGATCTGTTATTGGAAATTCAGGTTTCCATGAAAGAAATGGGTGATAATGTAACACATCAGTGAAATCTAGCATTTCTCCCTGTACTTGCCTTGTGCTTTTTTTTTTACATCCTCAGCCGAGGATATGTTTGTTGATTTTAGAGAGAGATGAAGGGAAAGAGAGAAACATTGATGTGAAAGAGAACCGTAGATTGGTCTCCTGTACACCCTTCAACTGGGAATGGGACCTGTAGTGCATTGAGGATGCTCTAACGATCTGAGCCATATGGCCGGGGCTACTTGCCTTGCTGTGAAAAGAGCCATGCAATCCTATAGGAGCATGACCCAGAGAGACTTCCATACGAGTGACGGCCCTGGAGCTTGTCTGGCGCACAAGTGGCATCTCTATCCGAGGCCACTCTGATTGCACAAAGGAACAACTAAGTATGGGCCATTTCAGAAAAACTGGGAATCTGTACTTGCCTCTCCAAAGTTTTTTTACTTCAAGCATTTACTGTATTCTCATCAGGAGCACTTGGCACAATTTTATAGAACCAAACTTTCTATTTGGCCCCACCCCCAAAATAGAAGTCAGCCAATGCACTGTATTTGTGGAGAACGCTATGGATGATTGCTTACCTAAAAGCCAATCTCCCCTCTTTATATTTGCTAAGAGCTCCCCCCACCCCAAAGTTTTATTCACATATTGTACATAGCTACGTGGTTTATGAGATGCTGGATCCTCTTCTGCTTAGGGGGCGAAACTGGGTAAGGGTCTTCATTACCCTTTGCCTCTTTGGTTTAGGAAAGGATATTTGGGCAATTCTGGCCCAAGAGCTGGAGGGGAAGTCTTGCCAGGGACCTTGTGGAAAGGTTTCCTTGATTTATAAGAAGGGAACGAGGAAGAGAGTGCCTCCTTCCCTCCTTTTGGTTTTTGGGCATTACTGAGATACTTCAGTTATCAGAGCCCTGCGGCCATCCTGGGACCTAACCCATGCCTGTGCAGGTTGAAATACCCGTTTATCTCTACAGATTAGATGGCTAGAGGGAGCCCAAAGAAACCTCAGAGATCATCAACTGTAACTTTCTCATTTATTTTTGTTCAACTAGGTTCCGTGTTGTTTGGCGTATTACTGTTCTCCAATGGAAATTACAACCGATGAGCCAACTGCGGGGTTTGGGAAGTAGTGATCAGCATGGGTACAATCTGATTCTTTGACTTGGTGCCATTTCAGAGATACATGCTTGTCATGTGATTCCTTTAATTATGTAGTTATTTCTGGAATAGTAGCCTACCAGAAATAATTCACTGGAGTGGACAGCTTCTTTCTATAATATTAAAAAAAAAAAAAACACCCAAAACTGAACTCAAGCTTATAAGATGGATGAATTTAATACAGAATTGTCAAGGTGATTAGCAATGGTTATCTTTTATATCTGAATGTAATATGTTAGTGATGTAATAATAAATGACTTCATACTTTAAGCTACTGTCAATCAGGTATTCTATTCGTTGTGGCCAAAGGTATCCTAATGGATACAATCTAGTCAGGGAAAGAGGCTTTCTCAGAGTTGCTTCAAAAATGGATACTGTGGAAATTAAGATTTCATCCAGGAATGTTAGTGTAGGTTATCGTTCAGAAATACTCCAGCTTTGTCTCAGATCTGGGTAAATCTGAGCAATCCACAGAACTGTGCTATTTCACCCTTTTATTTTTTCTCTTCAGATGCAGTTTCCTCCTGTGAGAGTGTCCAACAGATGTGAACAGCATCAAAGGGCTCTCTTGCCCTCTGGCTTCCCTGGGCTTTAGCCATTAGGATGCACCAGCAAGAGACTGGAAGAGGGAGGTAAGTGAGATAAAAATCTCCCAGCTTCCTCCTTGGGCGATTGATTCTATCACTTGCAAAAAGGTCCCAGGCGTCTGCCAGTCTGCCCTTTCTGTGCCGAGTCTTCATAACTCTTCCTTCCACCTTGTTTCTACAGATCTAGGAGCCTGTAGCCCCAGGGTTCCACATTCCCTTGTGGTTTCCTATACCCTACCCACATCTTTGTAAAGTGCCATTTGTTTCCTGCTAGGCACTGACTGATACAATGGTGTGAACAAAATCACTGCAGCTGTTGGAGCTTGGCCCAAAGTGTCTGAGATGTGGGGAGAGTCTGTGGAGTTATTCACAGTTTAACTAAAGGCTTTCCCCCAAGCATTAAAGGGAGACAGGAGACTACATAAATGTCATATGCAAAAGTGAAACAAAGTATCATAGCTCAGAGAAACATTTTCCACCTGAAGACAAGGAATCAGAGAAGGCTACCTGGAAGAGATGGCATTAGGGCTGAGGATGGATAAGAATTTTAAAAGACAGTGTGTGAGTCAAGCCAGGGAGGTAAGAGAGCTCAAGAAGAGTTTCTGAAAAATGAGTGCTGAAAGGGACCTAAGATGGCCTTTACTCAATGTTTTCCCTCCACTCTCTTTACACTGTGTAACCTTGAGGCTGAGATGTGGCCAAGGTCAAATAGCAAGGAAGTAGCATGCTGGGACTCTAACCCAGGTCTACTCGCTATTAGGCTAGTTCCTGATCCACCTTCTGTCTGGGTTCCACCCTGCTTCACCCCACCCTGCTAGACTGTGAGACCCTGGGAGCCCGGTTTGTTTTCTTCCTCCTTGAACCCCCATACCTAGCATGCTTTCTGGCATAAAGTTCTCAGCAGCAGCTACCAAATGGTAAGAAGCATCCAGGCCCCTGCCAGGCACTATGCAGACATTTTATATGCACTGCATGTCATTTTCCCAACAACTTAGAAGTGTAGAATTATCTTCACTTTTCAGCTAAAAATGCTGCGGGCTCAGAGAGGTGGTCTAATTTGCCCTAGGGCGCACAGCAGGGTGCTGGCCTCTATTTTAACCTATCCTCAAAGGGACTGCGGAGTCCTTGCCTCCATGGGCTTTCAGTAACATTTGTTGAAGGGATGAAGTAACAAGAAACACTGACTCAGTGTAAGTCATCTGCTGTAACAGGCCATCCTGGAGGCCCTGGCCGTGGACTCCGCAAGTACTCTCTGGTCCGAAGTACACCCGCTCCTCTCAGTACCCCTCCCTCAGGCTCCACGCCCGACCCCGCCCGCGGGACAGCCACGCCTCCTCCTCAGAGAGTTGGATCTCTCTCCCCATCTGAGTTTTCTCTCGGCTCCAGCCACTGCGGAAGGGCCTCTCGGCCCTGGCGATCCGGCGCTTGTTCCACTCCCCTGCCCCTCCCCTCGCCCTCCCTCACTCTTCAAACTTCTTTTTTCACGCTCTTTAAACTTCAGTCATCCTAGTGCCCGCCTCCCCCACTCCAGCCAGCCAATCGGTGGCTCTCATTCTCGGCGAGGGCCCGCCCCCTGCCCGCCGGGGGCCAATACCCCCGCGCGGGTGTCGAGGGCTGGGGCTGGTTCCCAAGCGCCGGGCCTGTGACGGCAGCGCGCCGGGCGCCGCGCGGTGGGAGTGGGCGGGGCTCTGGGTGAGGGGCGGGCTGGGGCGGGGGAGGTGGAGGTTGCGGCGGGTTTGAAAGCGGCAGTTTCCTGGCAGCCTGGGCAGGCGTTGGTCTCTGAGCTCCAGCTCCACGGCAGCGGCCGGGATCGATCCAGCGAGGGGTTTACGCGTGATTCTGCGCGCCCCCCACGGATTTTTCCCGTCTGGGCTCTTCCCCCTTGACCTGCCCGCCCCCCTGGCCTCAGCGGTTCCCGCCGCTGGGCGCGGTGCCCGGGGGCCAGCGGTCGCCTGTGACCCCGCCCGAAACCCCTCCGGAGCCGCCTGGGGACGATTCCCTTCTCCTTTCTGCAGTCTAACCTGGGGTAGCCCTCCCGGATCCCGGCCGACCCCAGGAGCGCAGCCGTGAGGCGTGTCTGCGGGGCGTCTTGGGGTTGGAGTGGCCCGGCCCCCCGCGGGCTGTGGTCCAGGGGGCGCGGGAGCGGCGAGGCCCCCCCTCGCCGGGCTGCGTGGGCCGCCCGGGGCCCCGCCGCCCGCGCGGGGGCTCCTCCATGGTGCAGCGGGGTTCGGGATGTCGAAGACACTGAAGAAGAAGAAGCACTGGCTCAGCAAGGTGCAGGAGTGCACGGTGTCCTGGGCCGGGCCCCCGGGCGACTTGGGCGTGGAGATCCGCGGCGGCGCGGAGCGCGGCGAGTTCCCCTACCTGGGGCGGCTTCGCGAGGAGCCCGGCGGGGGCACCTGCTGCGTCGTCTCGGGCAAGGCGCCCGGCCCCGGCGATGTGCTGCTGGAGGTGAACGGGACTCCTGTCAGCGGGCTCACCAACCGGGACACCCTGGCTGTCATCCGCCACTTCCGCGAGCCCCTCCGCCTCAAGACCGTGAAGCCTGGTACGCGGCCCTGCCTTTCCGGCTGGGGTGGCGGGCAGGTCCGGGTGGGCGCCCTGGGGGCGGCGGCCCCTCCCCGGGGCGTCGTGGCTCCGGGAATCTTAGACCTTCAGGGTGTGCCGGGCGCCTGGCGGCGGTGGCCGCAGCGATCCCATTTTCGCCGCCGGGAAAACTGAGCTCCGGGCTGCTGCTCGGCGAGCAGTCCCAGAACGGGGACCGGAGCAGGGTTGCCTACCTCCGTAGCTCCGGCTCCCTCCGCGGAGTTTTCGACTCCGGTGGGAAAGGTCCTCGCGGCTCTAGCACTGCCTTCGGAACCGTCTCATGCGTTTGCTGCGGGGGAGAAAGGTTTTTGCTATCGAGGCACTTGGTGCTGAGGTTACCAGCGAGGGCTTAGCTGCCTCAGTGTTTCTTGCGCGCTGGCAGCACCTGGGGCTGACAGCCTGACTCTGCGCAGGTGGTTCAGGTGCCTGGGCAACGGTTGTGGACGGTGCGTGATAGGTGCCCCGGTGGTGTGTGCCTGCGAGGAGCTGTCAACTTGTCTGGGTTTCGAAGGAAGAGGACCTAGGTGCCTCTCTGAGAAAAAAATGTTTTGAAAATCTTTGATTTTACAGAATTTTGTTGAAGCGGTCGGTCAAAAGGCCCCCCCCACTGCCCTGGTGTCATTTATGCGAGTGAAGTCTGCTGCAAAACACGTTACGTAGATGACATTGCTGTCAGTTTCAAGCCTGGATCGGCCCGGGAACCATGGAATCTGACAGTGTGTAATAGCCCCTACGTATTTGTAGTTGGCAGCAGCGTGGGTCGGCTCGGCACCGCTAGAATGTGGTCCTGTTTCCAGAGACGTTTGTAGGAGAGAGAAATACGACTACAAGGTAATTAGAAATCGGACTGTTTTTGCTTCATGGGCTCTATGGAATATAGAGCTTTGAAATATAATTGGCTGCTTAATTGTGATTTGGGCTAGAAAAATCAGCCCATCTCTCTGCTACAAAATGCTAGAAAATTCTGGAGGAAAATTTAACATCTCTTCCTCCCCTTCCCCCACCTTCCTCAGCTGCTCCCTTTGGAAATACCTCTTGAATCGTCCTTGGACTTTATGGTTTGTGATGCCGTGTAGAGATGTGAGTGTGTGTGTGTGTGTGTGTGTGTGTGTGTGTCCTCTGCACAGACTCACTCCAGTGTCCCTGGAATCTCAAAGGGAGATTTTCCTCCTGTGGTCTAGTCCGTTGCATCCATGCTAAGTTTACTGGTTTTTCTGAGGTTCTCTTTTTTGTTGTTAATTTTAAAAACTTTGGCAGACTTAAACGTCTTTTTCTGTGTAGTTTGGTGAATCCAAAAATTCTTCCTTGACTCAAACTTTCAGAGCCGTGTGTGGACAGTAGAGGAAGGGCTTCAGGACTAGAACGCAATCAGTTTCTGTCTGTGATGCGCAAACACTACATATTCAGCACTTACTGGTCTGCGTGCCGTTTCGTTCAAGTCCGAGGCATCGGAATAGTAAGAACATGGGCATCGTTGCTTTGTATTTTGTTTTGATTAGTTGGGGCATAGATGAGACTATAACTTATTTTCCAGAATAGTTTAAAATTGATTGAGGAGGAAGTTCATAGGTTGGGGAGACATATCTTTAATATTAGTAACCTTTATATTTTAAAAAGTAATTCCAATTTTGAGTGTATTTAGTAATATTGTGTTGAGAAAACACTGTCTTATTTTAAACGTTTAGCCAAAATAAAGGGAATAATTTATGTTAATTGGTGTAGCACATTTTATAATCATTAACAGTAAAAAAAAACCCCAAATACTACACTTACTTAAAAGAAACTTTTCTTAATCCTCACCCTAGGATATGTTTACTGATTTTAGGGAGAGAGAGGAGAGGGAGAGAAAAATGGATGTGAGAGAGACATTGATGAGACAGTATGAGACACGGCTAATGAGCCGTGTGGGGGCGCCCTGACTGGGGATGGAACCTGCAACCTTAAGATGTGTGCCCTGACTGGGAATCAAACCCGCAGGATCCAGGAGGACACTCCAGTCAACTGAGCCATTCAGCCAGGGCACTATACCTACTTTGTAAGGATACACGTTGCTTTAATAATTTCCAAAGGATGCCACAATGTGTCCTCTGAGATTAATCTTGTTTCTAAGCAAGTTGTAATTAAAGACTTTTAATCTTGTAAAACTAGTATTCTTAATTTCTTAGTAGCCTCATGTTAAGCATTATGTTAAATGGCTTTCTTAAATGCCTTTGCTTAAACATTTGTTGTAAAATAGCAAGCTTTTTGCAGGTTAAGGACGTGACTTTAAGTATTAGAAATTAAGGACTTGGAGAAGATATTCTTAGAACTCTGAGTGTGATTAAAAACCACATAAATTTTATCTCCAGAGAAGACAAAGATTCTTTACTGTTGGGATTCAGTCTGGAAAGCAGGAAGTACAGGGTAAAGGTATATAGGAAGAAACTCATCCTGACCGTTGGTTTTTTTTCCCTTTTATTTAAACTTTGGAAGAGAAATGGATATTTCAATATGATAAAGTATTGAAAAGTGTACTTAGCACTCTGTCTTGGTTAATAACTTTATTAAACTATATACATAAATGCCATTTAGAAACCCGAACAATGCCAGAGTAAATGTAACTATTGTCATAAGACGTAATAATAGCGGGGAATGATCTCATACTGTCTTCTGACAAAGTCCATGCAGGAAGCATGAGCTGGGCCATGGGGTGCTCCGGGCTGTGGGGTGCTCCGGGCCGTGGGGTGCACCAGACTGGGGGGTATTCTGGGCTGTGGGGTGCTTGGGGCTGTGGGGTGCTTGGGGCTGTGGGGTGCTCCAGGCTGTGGGGTGCTCCGGGCCGTGGGGTGCACCAGACTGTGGGGTATTCTGGGCTGTGGGGTGCTCTGGACTGTGGGGTGCTCTGGACTGTGGGGTGCTCTGGGCCATGGGGTGCACCAGACTGTGGGGTGCTCGGGGCTGTGGGGTGCTCGGGGCTGTGGGGTGCTCGGGGCTGTGGGGTAGGACTCTTCCACTTTCTCCTTTTCGTGGGGGATGGGGGGGCCAGCCAAAGTCAGCACCATCACCCAGATGACTTAATGAAGGTTTTTTCTGGCAGTGACTTGTCTTTAGCTTTGTCATAGGGTTTTATTTTTTTCTTTCTTTTGTTATAATCTGTAATGGCCATTTGAAAGTAACTCTTTAAAGATATGGTTCCTAATTTGAGGCTTTTCCTGAGAGAATCATAGAATTTCTTAATTAAATTCTTATTTAGTGTTAATATAGGACTTCGCATCAGTACGTTCTTGCTCCTGAGAGAATCTTCAGGTCCACAGATGCTTGATCCAACTAGTGACCTGCTCCTTAATTACAACCCTGTGGTTTATGTTTTCTGCAAAGAGAAGTGTTTTCCCTTGAACTTTGTATTTACCTAATAGTAAAGGAAGTTGAACTTCGGACCACTGGTGAAATTGTTTCATCATATAGTCCTGTGACCAGAATTAGTTTCTTTGATTTTACTTCAGAGTATGTTTTTAGAACAATCTCTACCCTTCTCCTTTGGATCTCTTTGTTGTCGCTGTTTTTGCTCAGTGGGTAATTTGGGACTTGTGGCGAGTTTTGTTTAGATAGTGCTAATGAAGGGAAGGGTGAGAGAAACTACAGCCAATCACTAGTCTCCTCGGTTTGCAATGTGAAAGTTTTCTCACCCATGTTTAAGGAAAAGAAACAATGGCTGAGGCAGCCCTTGTTAAAAAAAAAAAATAGCATCAGACGTTCATGAACCTTACATTTGAAACTTCCCTGCCTTATCAACTTTTGGTAACATTTTTGGGAGGACTGAAGTGGCCCTTGGTAACACAGGGTTCAAGTTCTGGACTCAACTCACTGACACACGCACTTCATGTGTACCGAGTTTCCACCACAGTGGCAGGACAGACACTTACACTTGGCCCTTTCAATTTGCACACCATTTTTACTTTATTCAGTTTAATACTAAAACTGATTTTTTGGGGCACATTATTCTGTGTTCCTTGGGAAATACATATTGTTTTTCCTCTGAGATCTTGGGATGTACTTTATAAAACTTCGTGTTATAAGAGACAAATGTCTGTGATTTCTTCCCTCACCCCTTCCCACCCCCAATCCCAGTCCCCAATTTATGTAAATTGATGGTAAAACAAATCTACAATCTTTCAAGTCTCTGAGTTACGAAGTCAGTGTACGATCAATCTCAGATGAATAGTTTCATATGTTGCCTTTACTTTATAAGACCTAAGCAGTTTGTGAATTTGGTGGGCACCTTGTGTTTTGAGAGTGTGTTGTAGGAGAATTTCACACACATGAGCCATGTCCCCATTGCCTATCAATTTTTTATTGTGATTTGACAGAGGCGAAGTATTTGGATATTGGAAGATTAGAACTGTGTCTCCTTTAATTAACTGGTTATTTTTGTTTCTCTTCTACAATTTTGAGAAGTAATTTCCTTGCAGTACTACATTCTGGTAGAGAGAATGAATATCCTCAATTAAAACTGTCCCTTCTCAGGAGCTTGACTCTGGGGAGCGTGGAGGCTGGGGTTGTGAGGGACTTGGTGGAGGAAGAGGGGCGGATTCACTGCTCTCCTTCTCCCTGAACAAATATTATTCAGAATGTTCCCCCCCAAAAGTGCTTATTTTGCTTTAAAAAGAAAGCATAGAAAGTTATATTATTACTGGCACACCCTGCCATTCCCTCCTCATTTAGTGGTGTGCTCACCATGTGAGCCAGCACTAGCAGTATAAAAATATGAAATATAAAAATGAGTCAGAAATTCTCTCCGTCTTCAAGAAGCTCACAAGTCAGCAGGAGCTTAGTGATGCATCGGAATACCTGTGGTAAGGGTTTTGTCTTCTTCACTTTCTCCCAGTTCTTAAGGTTGAAACTCCAGAGGCGAGTTTTGGGATGAATTTTGATGGAAGCTGGGCTGCTGAGTTTGTGGCCTACTATGCTGCCCTGAAAATGGCG